CTGAAATAAAAAAATAAAATAAATAAATAAAAATAAAGGAAAGGTGTAAGCCCCACTCTCTGGGGAAGCCTCGGTGTGGTGGGTGCACCAACGGAGGGAAACAGCCACTCCTGACAGTCCCAGCTAGATCGTCCCTTGGTGCACCCGTGCCACTCAGCAGCATTGGGTAGAGGAGGGAATGGTGAGAAAAAGAGTCTGAGTGGAGGAGAGCTAGCACTCTGGTCATCTTTGCCCCCTCTCCCAGGAAGACAGCCCACCCAGAATGTCCAAGTCGTGGGATCACAGAGATCCCCCCGGGATTCACCGGCCCCCCGTGTCTCCTGCAGTCTGGGTAGGAGTTGGGAAATGTCTGTGTGGGAACAAGTAACACGAACACTAAAGGCTGAAGCTCCCTGGGGAGAACAAAGTCACGCAATGGGTGGAGAAGCAGTAGAGCGCCCTCCATCCGGCTCAGGTCTGTAATGATGGGGAGTGATCCCGAGGGCGCTGGCAGCCTCATGCTTTGTCTTCAAGAAGCTCCCAGTTCACTGGCGGCACCAGCCTTTGGGCTCATGAGGGTAGAGAAGCTCTCCAGCAGCTCAGGAGCCTGCTGCCTTCCAGAGGTGTGAGGGAAGGAGAAACAAAACCCCCACCTGCCCTTGCCGTGGGGGTTTTGACTCTAAGATTCTCAGGGGTTGATCTCTGCTGATATCTTGTTTCTTCTTGTTCTGCTCCACAACTACTTCCTCTGGAATCTCTGGTAGGTTTTGGCACTTTTCCCTCAGAATTACACCTGAGCTATGGTTTTTTTTCCATCTAAAACTTTTCCTTCTTTCTGAAACAATCTGGCAACCGATGCCTCCCATGAGCCATCCCCTCCATCCTTGTCTACAGCCTCCATTTGAAGTTACTCCATTCTCACTAAATAGCCGTGGAGAAAGAGGAAGCGTGTGAGTCATACCTGCATCATGCAGGTGTAACAGAAAGAAAAGGAGTTTTCGGGGAGATGTCTCTCTACTCACAATCCACAGTTCATTTTACTCCCCAGATGGAAAGCTCACCCCTGTACCTTGTCAAGGCAACAAGTACCCCTCTTAAGACATTAAATGGAAGGAATTATATTTCTTTCTCCAAAGCCTAAAAAAAAAAAAAACTGTAGCACTTGACCGGTACCTCCCTTGGATTCAGGCACACAGAGCACTAGCCAAGACACTCCCCAGGTAGCCAGGCATTCGTGGGTCCAAAGGGACACGATCACCAAAGAGTCCACTCTCCCTCCTTTCACTCTAATCCCAGGATGCCAGAATGGCATGCAAACGTCCAGCAACTGCGCAGGCCTCCTCTCTGGGCAGATCACGCTGCAACGGTGCAAAACTCTAGGTATAAAGGGTGGCCACGAGGCAGCTGGCTGAGGAGGATGTGGACAGAGTTTAGACATGAGGACCAAGGTGTGCACACGCATAGGTAGGAGGGCCTCACAGAGCTGGGAGGGGCCGGGAAAGCCCTGGATTGGAAGCTGCTTCTCCATATTTCGCCAAGCTCCATGACAGAGCTCAGAGGAGTCTAAGAGTTTTAAACTTAAACCTGGATTTCCAGGTGGTTATGAAGGTATATTTGCCAAGTTAGGAGGATAGAACATATTTTATTTATTTAACAGCTTGTCAGCTTGATTTCAAACATTGAAACATGTAGACATTTGTTACGTGGGCCTCCGTTTGTACTCTTATGCCTGGGCCCGCAGTATTGGGGTCGGGTCTGCATTTCACAAGTACCGAAATAGGTCAAGTAAGTGACTGCCCTTTATCCCTCTACACAAAAGCAATACACAGTCTCATCCAAACAGGTTTAACAACAACAAATTGTACCCACGTGATTCAGGATGGGGACTTAAAACAAACTGCTTGCTCTCTCCTCCAAAATCAAGTCTAGAAAAATTGATACTGCGAGAGGAAACTAACAATGATTTGAGAAAGTAACAACCATAATAACAATAATTATGAGAACCCTTGAGGAGCCTGAAGGCTAGAAAATCCCTTAAAAGGTGTCTTGAACTTGGAAACACTGTGAGTGAGGGAGGTGGAATTGTAGATTCAACTTGGGGCAGAGAAAAGCTGAAGGAAAGCTTCTAAAATCTGCTATTGCGTTTAG